AGAGGTGAGCAGAGTAAGCCTGATTCCCTGTAAGGACTTCTCTGTAAGGACATCCGCCCCTTGGCGCTCATATGACCTTATGCAGTTGCGAGCACCGTAAAATCTCTACTAAAACAAAAGATGTTGTCAAAGGTGTGTGTCTTTAACTTTAAGTAAGGACAGAACTTTGTGGTCTTTAGGAACAGAATAGTGCTGGTTTTCTTGCTGAAAATAAGGTTTTCTTTCTCCTCGTTGTAAAACGGAAGGTGGACAGAACGTGTGTGAGAGGAATGAGTCGATCGTGTTGGCTGCAATGTGTCAAGTTTGGAAAAGAAATAGGGGAAATATTTTCACTGCAAGTTGGACTGGACTAATAGATTAACAGTCAAGTGCCGTATATAGAAGCGCCCCTCCTCTCATTTAGAAATGATGCTATTCATTATATTGAAGCAATGTGATTTCTGCCCAGTGCTCTGATTTTGAAAAAAATTTGGGGGTTATCGTTTTACGGCGCTTGCAACTGCATAAGGTCTTATGAGCACGCAGGACACCACACGCCAATCATTTTCAGTTGGTAGGTGTGAATCTTACCTACCATAAGATCAGGGGTATGGCTGAAAGACAGCAGTAAGAAGGAGCCATGGAGTAACAGTAGAAAGGCTGCAGAAAGATCAGGAGCCCAGAGGAGGGGGCAAAGGAGGTGAGCGGGTAGGGCCAAAAGTGGAGCAGAGAGCAGATGACAGAACATTGTTAGAAAGCTGGAATGAAGATGAAAGGAGAACAATTTTAGAGACACTATCCGGGTTCGAACCCGGGACCTATTGAATGAGTCTCTGTCTGCACTTTGGCCCTTTTGTCAGCACAATAAACTTGCAATTATTTATATTGTATTTTTCCGCTATAATCCATATCTCTCCTCTTTCTTTTCTCTCTATGTTACTCTCTGCAGACCTACCACTCATCCCGATTTAGTCGGGATATCCCAATTTTACCACCAAATCTCAAGCATCCCGATTTTCCCGATTTCGATTGCGTGTATCCCGATTTTTTGTCCCAGTCTGCTGTTGTGCCGGAATTTTCTAAAAACTTACTCTGCCTTCTCCTTTATCGCGGGAAGCACCC